TTCGTCCTATTGTAAGACACAAGTGAAGATTAGTTAAGTGTAATGGAGTTTTGCCTGATTGTTACTTACTTCGATCGAGAGATAGAATTATGATAGCAGGTATAAATCCGAATGGATTAATTACGAAATGAATTGATGTGATAGTTAATAAAAGCGCTCTTTGGCAAAATCTTCTCGAGTCTTAAACGGGTATTAGTAAAGCAGAGGGAAGAGTATTTAGAAGTAGAGGTAATGGTACAACTGCAGCCAATTAGTGCCCCGTATAACGTTCTATTTGCTCACAAGATTATAACCGTCACGTCTGGCAAATATTGGAAGCAAATACCATTCCGCTCGCTGCATCAGAGTCACTTTGCTTAGATTGCTTTGCTTGATTGTCGTGTCGACTGGAAAAGACGTGATTAAATTGCCAGTGTTAGCTACGGTTTTGTTGTTAATCTTCATTTATTTTTGCTCAATTTGAAATTGAATATTGAAATTACATACCTTCCGGAAGTGATTCTTCTTTACAAATTTTCCTTTGATAATTTCATTCGTACTCGCACCTACATTTTTACATATTTGATTGTTAATGAATATGCGCATAGATAATGCTTCATTCTATTTATCGTTTATTATTTACGTTCTAAACAAAGTTTGAAACACAACGAAAATAAAAATATTAATCGAAACAACGATTAAAAAAAGTTTATATGGCTGACAATAGCATTAAGCTTCAGATATATCAAATTGATTTTCTTGTGGGCCTTAAACTAGTCATGTAGAATGGTCCAAAAATCAGTTTTATCTATTTTGTAGCCAGCTTTATTCTTCTTTCTACTAACAAAATTTATAAATATTGTTTAAGAAGAGATTTCAGTGGATTAAATACATAATTTACAGTGTTTTAAAAACTGTATTGTTATTGAAACATACAAGATCTTCAGCAATTAGTTATTTGATATTCTCAGTTAATTAATTTTTGAACTAATTTCTATATTGATAATCTAAATAGATAAAAATATAATAAATTATTGATATTGTCACCCATTTTTGTTATATATTTTTTTAAATTTTAAACTGTAAAATGACACGATGTAGTATGTACAATAACATATCCAATACAGGAAAAAATAGGTTGGTGTATAAAATATTTTAATGGATAAAGCAGTTATATACATACAAATGTATTTAGAAAAGGGGAATAAATTTTGTTTTTGTTATATTTTATTTATTTATATTTGAATGACTGTCCTTGAATGACTGTGTATATGAGACTATACTGTTATGTATATACTAAAGCTATCGTTCAATTTCTAAATTAATTTATTAAACTTTTAGATCTATCCAAGTATACTAAATAACTCATTAAAATAATAATTTATTTACGTTTGATTTCTGAAACTGTAAATAAAATTTTTATGTAAAAAAATTCTGATTTTTAATCAATTTTTTTTCCTTTATTTCGTATTATTATTGTAGTTTTGTTTAAATTTTCTGTTTTCGGAATAATAAATTAGAATAAATTTTAAAAAATTAGATTCAGGACAGTTAACGTGAATTTTAAATTCATTCTTCTTATGAAAATAAAGAATTTTCTTTGGAAAGTACCTAAACAAACACCTTTTTAATGGAATATTATTTTAAGACATTTTTTTCCCTCCTCTTCTATTTAAAATGTCCATTGAATAAATTATCTCCAGTTTTGAATATGTTTGGCATCACCAAATATAAAATTTTAATATGAAATTATTCAAGTATCAAAGTATATATTTTTCACATCGCTTATAATGTAAATATATAATGTTTTATCCTCTTTGTTGTTTAAATTGATTTATTTTTTAAAGTTAAAACTATATATTTTAACTATATTTACTTTAGATAAATAAAATATAAAGTTTACCTCTATAACACATACATTTATACAGGATGTAGACACAAACACCAAACTGTATCTCGCTTCTGTACTTAATAACTACATACAATTGTGCTGGAGGATAGGCAATTGGTTTAAATGCCACAAACTTCTTTTTTGTATGGGCCCAGATCCTAGACCATGCAAGGTGTTAAGCTTCTCTGCATGGCCTTGAGATCAGCAAAGGGGTGCAAGTTAGGGGTGCACGACGTGCAAACTAAAGAATAACTCATTAATGGTTAGTTAATGCATTTAATTATTACATATAGAAGCGAGGTATAACCTGATGCAATGTTTGTGTCTACACCCTGTATATATTATTAATAAAGTTTGATTATAAAAATTGAATTTTCGAAATAACGATTAATTGAAAAAAAAAAATAATAATAATAAATAAGTATTCTGAGAAGGAATTAAAATATTAATTAAGAAATAGTTTCGTCCTATTGTAAGACACAAGTGAAGATTAGTTAAGTGTAATGGAGTTTTGCCTGATTGTTACTTACTTCGATCGAGAGATAGAATTATGATAGCAGGTATAAATCCGAATGGATTAATTACGAAATGAATTGATGTGATAGTTAATAAAAGCGCTCTTTGGCAAAATCTTCTCGAGTCTTAAACGGGTATTAGTAAAGCAGAGGGAAGAGTATTTAGAAGTAGAGGTAATGGTACAACTGCAGCCAATTAGTGCCCCGTATNAAAAACATTTCTGCCAATAAAACAGCAGAAAGAGTCACATGAAACAAACTTACAGTCGCTTTAGGAACAAACCTGCTTAATATACAAAAAAAAAAAAATGCAAAGTTAACTTTTAGAGAATAAGTTTTAAAAGAATAAAAAGAAAAAGTGATTGAAAAGTTCATCCCTTTAACTTTACAAAGCAGAGGAAGTCGATTTTCTTCGAAAATCGAGTTGTCATGAAAGATGCCACAGATGATGATCGTCTACCATCTTTCCAGGAAAAAGAAAAGAAAAAAAAAAGTAGGTAAGAAAGACTTGCAGCAAGAGCTAGAGATCTCAACCCCATTGACATAAAACCATGTAATGGATTGAGGCTCCTTTTCTGTGCAAAAGGCTATTTTACCCATCAAAGTATTAGGATGCTCGGCATCATTATGAGATGCAGCTTTATGTCAATGGATGAAGTTGCTTAGCAACGAAATGAGTCGGATATAGCGTAGAAGAGATGGGTCAGTTGTTCCAACTGTTGTCTTTACGTGACCTTCGATGTACTCGATACGAAAAGACTAAGAGTATCTTTTACTTGTCAACATCAATTACGTCAAGTGATGCTTTAAACAAACGGGTTTACTTAAGTAAATAAACAATATATATTTTTTTTTCTTTCCTTTATCCAAGATTTAAAAGTTAAGAAACAGAAACTTTTCTCTTTCTATTTAATTTTATATAAAAGAATAGTTTATATGAAAGCTTTAATTAAAGATGGATGAAAAATTATCCATTCGTTTTGGGGCTTCCAATTAATTTGAGGATCACTTGGGGAGATTCTTCAAATTAGAAAATTTAAATAGGAGAGATTGTAATGAGTTTTTGATTGCTTTGTGAGTTTTAAGTTGAATGCAGTTTCAAGTTGTTTTGTATACAGAAAAATCACTCGAGAACCCCCCAAATTGAGATTAGTATGACGAAATTTGTTTTCTAAGAAACAACAACAACAAAAAAAAAGAAAAAAAATTAAAAAAAACAAATTACAAAACATTCAAGTACAGATGTATATAAAATAAATAAAAATTATGTATCTAATAAGTCTTAAAGTATTAACGAATCTATAAGAACATTTTAATTATTTTAACCTCAGTTTAATGTTAAAAAAAGCATTAATTTTAATTAATTAAGTTTTTTAAATGATATTTATCTACTGTAGAACTAATTCACTTGACAAACTACCTACCAATAAATCCAACATCCAGGAAAGTACAAGAAAATCCAGTTCATTTCTTTTCCTTTCTATATTCTCATAATGATATTAATCTTGACTTAGAAGAAGTTTTTCTTACTTAAATTGTTTACCAGATATCATATTATAAGAAATAATATTATTATTTTCTATTATTTAATTTGTAGAAATAAAAATAGTACGGTGTTTATTTTAGAAGACACCAAAAAAAAAAAAAAAAAAAAATAAAGTTTTGTTTAGAACTTTTTCAAAATTTGTTTTAGATTAAAATAATAGTTAAAATTAAAATAACTATATTAAAAGTAGTAATATTACTATAGTAACATTGCTTAAATATTATATAAAGTATTACTAATATATTAACAATGCTTAGTAAGATAAAACATGTCTTGTTTGTATCTAATAAATATAAGATAGGTCTCTGTAGAGAAGATACGAATGTTTCTTTTGGATATTGTAGTCATATTGATTTTTATTTATTTATTTTTTTTTTATTCAATAATCATAACAAACGAATAACTTGCATAGGAATCGCTAGTCTCTCCATACATCTTAGTTACATACGTACAGTACAGTACATATGGATATAAACTTTCGTACAGAGTTTAAAAAAAAAATAAAGAAATAAAACTAAGCCATTGCATTATTTTTGTTTTACAAAGTTTTATATATTATTATTATTTTATTTTATTTATTTTTTGTTTCAAATATTTACAAATGGATCAAACTCAAACAATTTCGACATTTGAAAAGTTTAAAGTTTATCTTACTAAATTTGAATTCTTCTATTGAGTTTATTCTTGAATTTAAAAAAAAAGAAACATTAATTGTAAATATAATGAATGAAATAATGCATAAAATTAATTATATTTTTAATTTTAATAATCAGGATATCATTATTATAAGTAGCATCTATGTGACGTGTAATGTAAACACACTTATATATATATAAAGCGTAAATAAAACGTATCTAAATACATCTCTATAAACAACTCGCATCCTGTCCATTCTAAATAGTGTAAACAAATAAAGTTCACACATTCTACTAAGCTCACAAAATGACCCAGGAAACATTTTGGTTTATCTCCGGACGGTTCAAGAATAAAACAAACATTGGGATAATGGATAACGCACCTGAACACACCATGAAGGGAAAAGATCAATATAGAGTGCAGATAGACCTACCTCTGTTAATGCAACTCTGCTTGGATGTCTTGTTGTCAAATCTTCTCTTTAACGATGCTCACAGCTGGTCACTCTTCACTCAAGATACCTAAAAATAGAGAGAGAGAAAAAAAGAGGAGAGAAATATGTTTAATAAACGATTAAAAGGTAGAAATTATTATAATATTCTTCGATTTTTAATTTATTCCCTTTTCTAGAAAACTACTTAAAAGAGCGACAATAAAAATGTTAAGTTATAGTAAGAGCAAATCTGTGCCGAAATTTGATGCTAAATGTTGCTCTTGGTCTTCCTCATAAAGATTTAACAACGCATTCCGAAGTTAAAACAATTTTTTTATTAAATATAATTTTATAAATTTAAAATATATATTAAATTAAATCNTTCTTTTAAACAAAACATAGAAAGTTATTTTCATTTAGACGTTAACTAGTCGACTTTAACCGGCAACATTAATGTTTATATATTATTTTTTCACTTTAATTAATAAAATTTAACGTTAAACAAAGTGCCTTTTGTTCCTTTTACCGAGTTTATTTGACCGCCTCTAATTAAATTTTCTCTGTTTTGTTACACCTTACAAAATAAGTTTAAACAATTCCCTTGTAATAGTAGAGAGGCGTCAAAGGATTGTTTTAATTGCTTACATCCTCATTAATTTGCTTTCCACGAAATTTACCTCGTCTAAATCTTGACATAGGCTTGTTTGTTAAACAGTCAGATCAAATTTTAACTAGTTTTGAAAACTACACGAGAGATGAATAGAAATGGATATTACACTGTTACAACTAACTCAAAAATAAAGTATTTTTTTCCCTTTATAAAAATAATTTTAAAAAAAAATATTTTAAAACTTCCACTTTAAAAAATTGTTTAGGATATTTTTAGAAAGTATCGATACAAAGTAAATTGTTATAAAGCAACAATAAAAAGTACATTGGATCAAATACACGTGATCTACTTTTACCTGTCAAAAGTTATTGGATCCATACAAGAAAAAAAAAGGGACCTATATATATATATATTATATAAAAAAATAAGAATATAAAAGATGAATTTATTCGAGTACATCATAAATCGTAGCTATAGAATAATTCATGTTTTTGGTAGAATAATGTATTAAGGACTTTACTTTTGCCTATCATAAATGATAGTTTAATTTGAGTTATAAAGTTTTCAAAGTATAAAGTATAGTAAAGCTTTCGGTAAAGTTAAAGATTGTTTTCTTTTATATAAAAATATTTTAAAAGGATTTATTTGGAAAAGTTTTAAAAGAAGTTATTATCTTTTGAAAATTAGTATTGATTTTGTTTAATAATAGAAAAAAAAATGGTGGAAAGAAGAGTAAGAACAAGACAGAGAGAGAGAGAGAGAGAGAGAGAGAGGTTGATGCGATATAAATCTTTTTATTAAAATATTCCCTCAAAACTTTTCTTATCCGGTATTAAAAAAATTATATATTTTTAGACACTATCTTCCTGCTTAGATGGTTTCTTTTCTTTTACTTTTGCTCCTTATATATATATATATTTTCTAAACTTTCTAACATCTGGTAGAAAAGTTTAGAGGTTTTACTAAAATTGGAAGCTTTCCCAAAAATTTTTGATTGTTTAAACATAATAAGATCTTAAACAATATTTGACACATTATCTCTCCGATCTTTTTTTTTTTTCTTTACAAATTGCCAATTTATTAAATGTCATTATAAAATAAATATTTCGCGCAAAAAAAGGAATATTTTTAATATAAAATTTCGAAAATTGAGATTGCAATTTTATCGTATACGTATTTTTAAAACGTTATACATAAATTTAACATAACATATCGATAGTGTCAACCTTTATATAGTGTTTAAAGAACTTCATACTTGGCAACGTTATCGTCTCTTCAATTTATTTTATCCCACAGTGACTATATACTTTAGGCCTTTATTTTTCTAATCCCCGGATAGAAGGTTGTATCTCGAAACTACGTAGTCTACTACTACTACTTTACTGGGACTTATACAGACACGAATTTTCACGTTTATCTATAGCATTTTTGTAAAGAACTACTCAACAAGAAAATAGGTAACAAATCACGTTTTCGTCTATATAACATACAGAAAAACGTCTACCCCATCTCGGACCTCAAAATCCTGTTATATGAGACTTGATAAATGAAGCTAACTGATAGAATTTCATTTGTTACCAGTTATCTCCTCCCAAGTTAATAGGAAGAAGTAACGAACATAAATTTCGAGATATAAGTAGAAATTTAATAAATAAATAAGATTTGTATTAAATAAAAAAATAAAAAAATTTTTTTTTAAATGTCAACGTGCCAAAAAGAACTTGTCAAAAAATAAGGAGCTTGTGTCAAAATCCTAAATATAATCCGCAGCAGATGTCACCGTAGACACGTTGACAAGGTCTTGACTTTCCCTTGAGACTTCTGAAGAGACAAACTGTCTGACAGGACCGGAAGAGGGATGTCTAACTTGTTTGTCTACTTTACTTTTGACCCCCCTTCTAATGACAATTAGCGTGTCTTATTGAGGAGTGGGTAGAAAGATTAATACCAGGATAAAATTGCTTTCAAGCTCTCTCTCTATTAAGTCGAGCTGGCCCATCGCTTCCTATAAGAGCATCGAGTATCACTGATACTCTTAAATCATATTTGAATTCTAAGTTTCGTCTTGCGCTCTTATATTTGATTAGAAATTAATCTTATTTGAATGCATTGACTCGAAACTTTGATGGATTGACAATTATAAATCTTTTTAAAGTGAAAGATTTTCTTATATATATATATATATTTTTTTTTTAAATCTATATTTTTTCTATTTAATATATTAATTTTCTGTTGATATAATCGAGAAAGATATTCGAGAGTAATGCAATTAAATTTCTGAATCGGAGAATTATATTCAGCAGAGGAGCTTAGTTTTATGGTTTAGCGATATTCAAGCACTTCTCTTCTGATTAGTTGAATGTGTTTAATGCAATTTTACCTCATTGATGTTAGCAAAATTAGAAGGATTGTTGGCTAAAATATTTAATTTATTCGCGGTATTTCGGATTATTTATTATTGTAACAACATTGTGTTAAATTTATACAGAAATTTCTTATTTTAAAATATATATATTAATTAATATGTGTTCGGAATTGTTGGAAAATATTTACTTATCTGATTATAGAAATGAATAAAATGCCGTATAAACGGATATTTTTTCTTGAAATTGCTGTGAAGATAGATTCTTTCGGTTAATCTTTAACTCTTGGCATTTTCATTCTTCATTTTCTTCCTCATAATTTCTGAGCAGCTTCGTGTCTTTTATTGTTTTGAACTATGAGTTTCTGTCGTGCTTTTTCATCGTTGCTCTTTAGTTGTATATCTCTTAGCAATTCGCGTCATAACTCTGAGCTGTATATGGCCTTCTTGAGCCGTCTTCTTCTCATACTTTACTTTTGTTATATTTTCTTTTCCATATTTGTCGTTTATCAGTTTTGTGCCCGCGTAACTTTTGAGCCTGCAGATTTATGTTCGCCTAAGATATAAGCTTATACGTCTTCTACTCTTTCCGAGATATAGTGTATCCTTTTCGGTTTCACAGCTATAGTTTTCTGCCATTTCTGATTTATGTCCTTTATCATTCTATTTCATATATTTTTCCTATTTCTTTGAGCTCTATTTCTTTTGTCATCCCATGCTATATTTTTCTCCTGTTTATGACCTAAACTTTCTACACCTTTCCGAGGTTGCTTGGTCTTTTCTTTCTTGTTTTTGGATCATTAATATACTTCCTTCCTCCTTAGGTTAATCTTTAAAAATGGCCACCTTGCCATCTTCAAGTACTGTGACGTAAACGTAATTAAACACTCGATACACAAGCACTTTTTTATTCATTTAACATTCTTATCTGCTCTACATAATATATTTATTTATTTTTTTTCTTCAGGTTAATGTTTTAGAAGAGCAAAAATGTATTATGGAGGAGAAAATTTCTGTAAAAGATATAAATCGATTTTACTTAAATGACTTAAGTTCAACGCTTTTGGAGTGTTTTAAATTCTTCTGGTAATGAACCCGAGTGATTATTAAACATATTAGATAAAAACCAGTCGATTTACTTAATGACTTTTATGTCTAAGGAAAAAAAAAAGAATTTTCTTTTTTTTTTCTTATATTCTCTCTCATCCTAAAAGTATCAGAACTTAAATGATTGATATTAACTTTAATGAACATCATAACTCGATACTTACATCAAACCAAGTTACGTTCGATTGGAGTCATTGATTAATGCTCGAGTAGAGTGAGTGGAGGTCAAGGGTCGTGGATTTTACACGTCATGCACCAACAGCTCTTGGTTCCGGAGATGAATGACTGGTTCTCACTCAACAATAGAACGTATTTAATCTACCCTGACGTCAGACTTTGAAAGATGAAAGGAATACGGGGTTCCTTTTTTAACGTGCAAGTTTGAGCGTGCTGTTGTAATAACAATTGGTTGATTTGTTATGTTGGGCAGATGGTCATCGTTTCTGATTATCCATGCTTCGGGTGAATGAAATATCCTGAATAACTTCATACTTATTAACATTTTTTGATATCCGGGATTAAAGTAGAATTGCCTTGTTGCTGATAACATTTTAATGAAAGAACAGATGCGAGGATCAGCTTAACTCCGACTCTTTCCATCAATGCATACGAAGTACTTATTTTATCACGCAAATTTTGCTAGTTTTTTTTTTTTATTTTAGCCTTTGTGCCTACTTTCCGCTTTTATCTGTTTGTTTAAACTTCTCATCAGCACTTTCTGCTTATGAGTCATTTACCATTTTTATATTTTTGACAGCTTCTGACTCATGTTCTTTTACACTACTTATTTATAATTATGCATTTTCAAAGAACTTCTTCCATACTTTTTCACGAAATTTAAATAAAATTTGAATTTTATTATCTTTATTTTAATCGTTTAAGTATTACATATTTCTAATTAAATCATTTAAATTGTTAATCAGAAAAATTTTACTTGCACCGAAACTCTTGATATTTTAAACAATTTTGAGTAAATTCCCATATTAATTATAAGCTTAAGATAAATATA